GGGTGTTCCTGAAATGGTAACATCTAAATTAAAATCAAAAAATGTTATTTAGCACAAATGAATGTTTGACTCCTGGCCCTTGAGGTCTGTGAGAAAGTTGAAAGAAATCAGCCGCCAGGTGTCGCTATTGTGTGTCAATATCACGCGAGGTTTCACACAATATTCATATCATATGTTAGATTTCCTCATTCTGAACAACTTCTCCTCTAGAACGGCTGCTGTCAATCAAACCTTTTGTGAAATATTTGATATTATGTAAAAAGCCTACTTTTTCCAAACTTGTCCTGGACGGTTCGTCTGATCTTCACCAAAATTGATACAGACCATCTTTTTTTTCCTTTTTTTTTTGGTAGACCAAACCATTCTCAAATAACGCATGACTGAACTATTGCTCAGCTCTGGTTAGTGTAAGCTCAGTCTGGATGCAGGGGTTCTGTGCTGGCCACTAGATGGCAGAGCATCAATAAAGATGACACAAGTAGAGTGACCTTACACTGCACCTGTCTAATAATAGTATGCTACCTGCCAGCACTAGTCTCAGATGAATGGCTTCAGCTTTCTTCTATTCTTCCTCTGGTCGGCTTCAATCAGTTTTCAATTCCATACATGATCATCATCATCATCTAAAGCTGAAGCAGATAGACTTCTATAGATGTCTAGTTCTGAAACTGGTCTGCTGTGGACAAGTGAGCTAAGTTTTCTTTGTGAATGATGCTTTTATTGTACTTGTTTCATAATTTCTTATTATATGCAGTCTATGCATTGTCAAGGCTACCATCATACTTTAACATTCACTGAAATAGCAAAATGACTATGATATATTATAATTATTTTCCTGGACATGTCCTGATTTTTAAAATGGCTAAAATTGCCTTTGTTTTCCTGTGACGGAAAAGTAATTTGACCAATATCATGCAGGCATTGTACATAATCAACCAATTGTGGTTGAGAAAAGGAAGATTGTTCACCCTAAATTATGTATTAAATAATAATGCTCACCAAGGCTCCATTTCTATCATATGAGACAGTTTAAGATGCACTTATGTAATTTATTTCCGTGATCAAAGCTGAATTTTCAGTACTATTTACATCATACAGATTTGTACAAAATTGCAACCTCATGAAATAGTTACATTTTCCCATGAGATCAATGTTAAATGAACACTTTTCAGTGTAAGATAAAATGATTACACAAAGTAAGTGCTGTATGGATGTAAAGAGACATGTTTGGTTTCATATATGAAGTATTGTGCTCAAACGTCAGTTTTTGTTTGTGTGTATGTGTTTGTGGCAGTAATTGTTGATGGTAGTAAGGTTAGGGAGAGTGTGAATGCGTGTGGCTCTTGTGAAAGTGTCAATGCCCCGGGAGCGCCAGCAGGCTCACAAAGACAGACAGCATGAATTAATCCCAGGAGAGAGTGCGTGACAGTTTGACAGTGCTGTGAATCGAAAAGCTAGGAGTCGCGAGGCAACAGCATTTGTCAAATCATAATTAAATGATGAATCACTGTTGTGTTCTTCAGGACCCCAAACCCTTCTTGGAGATACATAATATAATAAAAACAAGAAAGCACAGGACACATCATAAAGAATTAGGGATTATTGTGTAGAAAACCATTCTTGAATTTTCCTCATTTTCCAGTTTGGTATATAGAGAAATTAAATGACATGCATTAAAATAACTGGGATTCATTCTACTGACTGTGATGTGGGAAAATGGGAAAAACCTCCAGTCATTTATGACACGTGTTTTGGAACGATCCCACTGTATGCTGCTGATGTGCACCACCCTATTGATTCCTGAATTATTTAAACAGTCAGAGTTATGTAAAGTCATGAAAAGTTGTTGGAAAAACTGTAATTTATCTGCATAAAATATTTTTATAAAAACAAATATTACAATTTAGAATAATAGCACCAGTCCATGCGCATACTCAAATCCTGTATCAGTAAATAATGAGGAAGGCTAATGTATTTATAAATCAAAGCTCAACAGGTATCAATGATTGAAACACACCATTAAAGGAATAGTTCAGCCAAAAATGAAAATATTAGAGATGCACCGATACTGAATTTCTCCACTGATACCGATATCCGATTATTCAGAATTATATCTGCCGATACCGATAGTTTGATTTTCTTAAGGCAGTCTGCAGTCTGACAGGTTTTGGCCTCCTTCTTTTGATTGATAGGATATAATCTGCCCTGTTTTTTGTCAGTCAGTGAATCAGTTGTCAATAGTGAAAAAAATTGCATATATTGGCCGATACCGATTATTCGCCGATACATCGGTGCATCTCTAGAAAATATGCTGAAAATGTCCTCACCCTCAGGCCATCCAAGTTGTAGATGAGTTTGTTTCTTCATCAGGTTTGTAGGTTGTGTTGACTAAAAATGAACATAAACATGTCTGAAAACATAGCATCTTTTTTGTAGAAAGTATTGAAGTATTGACACACACCAATACTTCAGAAAAATCAATATTTGGTGGAATAACCTTGTCATTTTCTGGGTGAAAAAAATGCTCTAAGTGACCATATTTTTATTTGAAATTTGGGAGCAATGTTATCAGACCTTTATAGAATAAAACAAATATTACAATTTTACCCATACCTAGTGAATGCAGAGAAACTTTTCATGTGGTCTTGTAATTTTTTCCATAGCTATACACACACACACACACACACACACACACACACATAAATAGATATAAAAATAAATATATATACTGTAGAGATAGAGAGATAGAGAGAGACAGATTTTTTAAAAATAAATTTTGTATTCAAAGATGCATTAAATTCTTCAAAAGTGACAGTAAAGACTTTTACATACTGTGGCAGCAGAGAGGCGTTTCATCAGATTATAAAAGATCATTTCATCAAAGCCCTTATACATTTGATCCCCACCTCAAACCACAAAACTACAAGGCCTCCATTTAGTCAACCGTAAAACGGTTTTCTGTAATTGAAGCAACCTAATGCAGATTAGAAGTCGTATGAGAGAAAATGGTTGAGTGAGAGGCAGAGCGAGGGCAGACGTGTTGTCAGGTTCTGTGCGAGGAAATGAGCGACGTGTGTGTGGATGCAGGGGTGCAGGTAATGTTAAGTGTTCTCAGTGTGGAGTCAAGCCCTCCTCCACAGATTGCTGTCTTGCTCTCACCACTTGTTTGTCCCTTTGAAGTAATTACTCTTTCACCTCAACAAGCTAATCATTGAAGGTGTGCCTTGCATCAGCAGCACCAGACTCAG